CTAAACAAAAATTTTCCCCAATAACAGGGAATTAACCAATTTCTTTTGAAAATCAGAAATCATAATCAAATCATAATTGGAAATTGTCAACTGAATACCACTTTCCAAAGTTTTTTCTTTCAAGTCTGTGGGACACGAATCATTTTGAGATTGTGTGACAAAACACAAACACTGTCACCAAAAAGGTGCTTAACAGCACAAGGCATCAAAGGAACAAATGAAGACAAGTCAAAAAATTTTGATTTTTAGAACTTTTTTTTTTTTTTTCCAAATTGGATGTTTTTATGACAAATATTATTATTTTTAGATTTTACAAGAAAAAGGCTTCAATGAAGCAGATGATGATCCTGCTTGAATCAAGTCAATGCAGCCTCACACTCAGTTAAGAGCATCAGGATGCAGATGGTTCATTCAGACAAGAACAAACACCACCTTTGTAAAAGTCATTGCAAGTTTTACACTTTTTGGAAACAGGGACAACAACAGACCTATCCACTTCACCTTTAAGGGCATGCTTACGTATTAACAACTCTTGTTTTAAACCAGGGTCCCTGACACAGGCATACGTCCACTGATATTTTTTTATGAAGTGATGCAAACTCTTCCCACCTTCCTCACTGAAAAGTCCAAGGAAGCAATAATATCCTTTATGGTTAACATAGTAGCAAAATATCACACAGTCTTAAATCCGCAAAAACTGTACGCAAAATGTGATAAAGTACGTATGTAATTTTCAAATATATGGGTTAAAAGAAATTTGACATGAGTTCTCCCCTTCCCCAAATAGCAGCTCAGCAATAAGGAAAATATGTTTTGAAGTGAAAAAAAAAAAAAAATTTTTTTAAATAAGAAAAAGTGATTTTTCATAGAAAATTGGCCATGATTTTTTAAGGCTAACCCCTGAGTTACATTTTTCACAGCCAAATCGAAGATTTATTACCAGTGAATAATCCCATGTGTAAAAATTAGCCGTCTAGATCCTATAACGTTGCCCAAAAAGGTCCAGAAGTTTACTGATTGATCGAAAACCTGTTGCGCATAATTGTGTTTTTCACAGTCAGTTTCCATTGTTTCATCTTGATGTTGTCATTTTCGGACAGCCAAGTCATTAAGGATTCAGGACAACAGTTTGACACAGGCTTGCTTTGAGAACTACATTCTATGAGGTGTTAAAAATGTTACTGATGAATGGAATTTTTCGCCGAATATTTCGTTTACGCGCCATATTGGATTTTCCTATATGACAAAAACAAGGGTTTTAAACAGCCGTGTAATCTATATCTATAAAACAGAAGATGTCTGTCTGTGAGTGTGTGTATGCTATTTATGCACATCCACATTTCTCAACTGGTTTCAATGAAATTGTATACACATGATGCAAATTTACCAAGGTAGGTAAAGACCAACTTTTCAATCTCCAGGCTTTTCAGGTTTGGCAGAGAAATCAATAAAACTGAAGGTGGGTACAATGTTTTACAAAAACCAAGGCAAAGTTACATGTGAACAAAATTTTTACTGGATGAACTGATGTTCTTTGCACTTAATGCAAAACATAGCTCATATTATGAGGTTTATGTAGAGTGCTTGATAGTTATTCCGTGGCACTGGTTTTGCACAAAAAAAAAAAAAAAAAAAAAAAAATCAAAAAAAATCAGGTTTTTCATACTACTTAAAATAAAAACTTGAATAACTTCATTTTTTATCCAATTTTCTTCAAACATGGCAATTTTTTGTGACATCATGCAAGAAATAAGAGTGTGGTTTTAGTCCTGCTTGCTTCCCATATATAACAAAAAAAAAAAAAAAAAAAACCCTGAAAAACTGTGCAGAAAACCCGTTTTTGGACATAAATTTGCCATGTAAATTACATATAACATACAAATTGTCTTGTGTGAATGTTTGGTTTAGATTATTTCAGTCAAGTGGAAGAAATCTGCAACAAACTAGGTCCAAAATTGGCTTTTGCCATTTAGCCAATAATTTCTTCATATGTTTCCATCCTAAATTGACATTCAAACAACCTTTGATGCAAAGATTGTTTGAGAAGGATTATTGAAGTGCTAAGAGTGGAAAATTTTCAAAGAACTTATTAACCATAGAATTACAGTAAATGTGCGAGGGAGGGGGGCGTTCATGCATTTGTACTTGCAGTTGAATCAAGCGTTGATGCTTCACCCCATTTTTTGTTTATTAGATTTGTTAACAATGCCATACTAGTTGAAAGTTATGATGGCCATAGAAAATTTACTGAATATCTAAAACAATTTAATCCTGAGCAATGACAACACCGATGGAATTCCTTTAAGAACAATCAAACACTTGCGAAGGACATACTGTAAAAAAAGATAAGGAATGGGGATTACCTCAGTATACCAACAGATGATGCATGCAAGTGGGGATGCAGGCAGACATTTCTAGATGAGTGTAGGTGTGTGCGTGCACACACACACACACAGGTATACAGTGGGGTGCGGTTATAAAATATATTGTTTGATTTTTGTAGCTGGGACCCTAACACCCTGGGTCAGAGTGAACCTAGGAACAACAGTCAAACTCTCCAATCTCCCAATGAAAATCCTTGCTGCTGGACATAATTTAGCAACATATCCAGGACAATTGTAAGATCAGTTATTTTAATTTCCTTTCTAACTAAGCAGTTGGTCTGAACCTCTAGTTCTTCTGACAAACTCTATAAACAAGCAATTCACAGAAGATTTACAATCAATCTTCATGTATAAGAAATAGACAAGAGCTAGAAATTTGAGGTTCTAGTGATTAATTAATTACTCTTCACTAGAAAAGAAAAATTTAAACCAAAATAAAGAGCTTTGTAAGTGACATGTATAGTTTATAATAAATAAACCCCATTTACAATATAATTACATACCCATATACATACCAGCCAAACGTTATTTTCTACCCAATAACAGACACTATTACAAACATGCCAAAAAGATTCCACAATGCAACACTCATTGTTTAATCAAAGTGTCTATTGGTTAAAAATTAACATCACTATGTGAAACATTTGACCAATCAGAGAAAACTAAGACCCTATTGTTCTCAAGACTACTTATTGGGAAAATTTCTGAAAAGGAAAAAAAAAACAAAAAACCCCAAACAAAAACACAAATTTCAACTTTCAAAAAGCAGAGATGTGATAGCCTCTCCTCAGCATGTTCTGAAAGAAACGTGTCAGTGAAACCATCTCCAACAATAAAGACAGACAGTGAATCTTTGCTAATGATAAGTCTTTTCAACCACAAATTTGATTGCAAACCAATTACTAAAAATCTTTTCAAAACTACAGATTTTTCTGTGTGTCAACTACCCAAAGGTTTTAACTCAACTAAAGACTATTTTTATTCCCTTTTGAATTCATGTACTTATATTTGTAAATACAAATTATTTAACAGGCATACCCATGTTTTTTTTTATTTTCATTTTGTTATTGTTTGTGATTCTGACATTCGGATTTTTAATATATAAAAATAAAACTGGGTAACTGAATTTCCTACAAGTACAGCAACTCCAAGTAACTGATTAAAATTTCAGAAGTGTTAGCTTTGTCAATGAGTAGGTATTAAATGTATACATGCTTTGAGTAGATGAATGGAAATGTGGACCAAGTCAAAGTGGAAATGGTTATAGACAGAAGGAAAGAAAAAAAGAAAAAAAAAAGAAAAAAGAAAAAAATAAGAAAAAGAAAAAGAAAAGAAAAGAAAAAATAAGAAAAAGAAAAAAGAAGAAAAGAAAAAAGAAAAAAAAAGAAAAAGAAAAAGAAAAAAGAAAAAAGAGAAAAAAAAGAAAAAAGAAAAAAGAAAAAGAAAAAAAAGAAAAGAAAAAGAAAAAAAAAAAAAAAAAAAAAAGATAAGAAAAAGATAAGAAAAAGAAAAAAGATAAGAAAAAGAAAAAGATAAAAGAAAAAGAAAAAAGATAAGAAAAAGATAAGAAAAAGAAAAAAATAAGAAAAAGAAAAAAAATAAGAAAAAGAAAAAAAATAAGAAAAAGAAAAAAAATAAGAAAAAGAAAAAAAATAAGAAAAAGAAAAAAAAAAAAAAAAAAAAGAAAAAAGTGTGTGTGGAGAGGGGGGGTCCCCCCCCCCTTTAAAATGATAGTTTCATAATTGAAACTTTATAAAAATGAGAAATAAAATAGGAAAATGTCAATTCACCTTTGCCTTTCTGCTTTGTAATTTGCTGAAAGTTCATCAAAAAGTTTGCCATTCATCTCCATGAATGTTTTGAGCACATTGTATACCAGAGCAACTATAGTTTTATTCCAGTGATCCTTTGAAATCTTATAAAGGGCTGAGAACATGATGGGCATTATCACATTAGAGTTCTCTTCAATCAGACTCATGATATACTCATTGTTCCAATAATAAAGAGCCCTTTCAGCAACCTGAAAGAGAAAAATAATTACCAAGGGTTAGTTAAAAATACTTAATTACAACAGATGGGAAATGAGTAAAAAAAAGTATGTCAGACAAATTGAATGTCAAAATTACTTGTCTATTTATACCATTAAAGGATTTTGTGATCACTGATTTTTCCTTTTAATTACAAATTACATATGCTTTATAACAATGCTAAACCATATCTATTTGATGATGACATTTAAAAGTAAAATGCAAATAGAAGCTTTTCTTTGTAAAGCAGCCAAAACTAATCAAATGCACACAACCAGTAAATTCTGACGGACAATATTTCAATATGAAAAGTAACAATATGATTTATGATTATATATATATATATATATATATATATATATATATATAAGGAAGAAAAAATGCAGCAAATGAGCCTGGTCAGCACATTAGTTTTCATTTTTTTTATATTATTTAGCAGAAATTAGCTGTGTTTTTTGTTTTTTTTTACCTGGAAGTGGGGACTTGAGACACAACGGGCTATTTGTCTAAACAGTGGATCCATAATCTTTTGGAAGTGGGCAGGCTCTATCACATCAAGAATTTCTTCAATCTCACCCAGGAACATCACCTGTAATTAGAGAGAATGCAAGCCTTCACAACAGATGACATGGTAAACAAACAAACAAAAACAAAAAACCTATATCAAAAATTGTCACTTTATGGCTCAATGAGCTTTTATTAGGAACTTGACATGATTAAATCTATAGTGCATTAACACTAATATGGGTTATACAGTATAAGGTTTCCTAATTGATTGATGCAATATTCTTTAATAAGAATAATAGATTTAATGAGCAAACAAGATGCCCCGTTTTGTAATCTTTTGAATCTATATACTTTGTAGGTTATGATAAAAAAAAAAAAAAAAAAAAAAAAAAAAAAAAAAAAAAGAAAGATGATATTTACTTGTAAAATTTGTGGGAAAAAAATCAATTGTGTTAACTGGGGAGAGAGATAATACAAACATTTTGGCACAATAAACTGTTGAGCAATATTTAATGAATGAATGAAAGAAAGAATTCATTCTTTTAGTTTATTTCAAGTGCTTCCACTTGGGAAATACCAACAAAGATAAACTAATTAATATTGTTTGACTGAAATATGTGACAAAACAAAAAACAAAAAAACAAAAAAAAACAAAAACACTTTCAAATAATTTCCATGAATACAAGTATTCTAAAATTGTCACTATTTTTTTTCAAGTGGATATTGTGGCTCTTAAAGAAAAATTCTGTGCATCATCTTTAATCCAATTTTTAAGTTCTCTTTTTCTAAGGTAAAGAAAGTCCTTTGATAATTTTTTTCATTCCATACAGAGATATAATTTGGGCATCAATATACAAGATTATTGTCAGCAGTTACACCAAGGTTAATAGCTTATTCACTGAATACATTGATATTTTAAGCAACTGTGTATGTGTGTATATATATATATATATATATATATATATATATCTGAGAGAGATAGAGATGTAAATTAGATTAAAAACTAAAAGCTTTATAAACAAATACAGCCAGCCAATGATACTCTCCTGCAATCAAAATGGAGGAATGCAGAGAGGGAGGGAGAGAGAGAGAGATGATGCAAAGAAAAGAAACAAATACAAAAAGCAACAAATCAAGCAATTATTCTACTTTAGTGTCACTTGAATTCTGAGCTGAATAGTAGCAATTAGAGAACTATTTTGTATGGTCAAGAGATTCAGGAATGAACACATTTTTTCACAAGATCTACACAATTATCTCCCCTGCCTATCCAATAGGGGAAGGAGGAGGCAACAGTCTTATGGAAGTCTGATTTTCAATGTAACCAATCAGCCATTGTATGAATAGAAAAATAAATTTAAATTGTATCCTAATTTCATCTATTATTTCATTTATGAAATACAAATAAAGAAAGGATGTTTGGACTGATTAATTTGTGTGGTTCAATTTAGCATCAAAGAGCATTGTATTCCTTACCAGTATTAAAAGTGACCAAGACATTCCTTTTGTAAAAAAAAAAAAAAAGTTGAAAGGAGGCAAGTTAATATTTTTACCAGCATCACCAGCTATGAAATTCATTCTTTAGATATCAACATATGGTATAAACTTTAAACAAGTTGCTATCTTGATACTCATGCTATCATATACAGACCTAGCATTACATTTTGTATGTAATAAATATAGCATAACATCATCATGTAAATAATTAACTGTAACAATATCTTCAGACTTCAGAATATTAAAGTAAAATTTTGTTATTGCATGAAATATGTTTGTCAGCATATAGACTGTTGTCTTTCAGTATTTGATATATTCAAATGTGGGTTTGAAAGATATGACCAATTTATGAAGTAAAGCAAGTTTAGAATTTAATAATCAATTTGAAAAGCAAAGTGCCAAAATGATTGATTTGTTTTTTGTTTTTTTTTATTGCTTGTCAACACATTGCAGGTTTTTTAAACCCAGAAAATATTTTTTAGATTGTAAGATTTTTTTGAGATAATTGTTTAATGATACAAGTCTTACTAATTATTCTATAGTTGGGGAAAGACAAGATGGATTCATATCTTTCCCCAAGGTTATTTGCATGTAACAAACTCAACGGAAATTAGAACTTTGCTCTCTAATTAACAATTCTGAGTCATTATTACAACCTGTACATCCAAGCTTACAGCACCTGATGAAAATTCTCAAAGGTGACATTCTTTTAACTTGTAGAGAATAGTAAAATGTGACCAGTCAGGTGGTAGTGGTCATTGTTAGATAGAGAATTTGCTTTCAAATATTTTATAAGTTAGAAGCAAAACATTTTTTTTTCATGGCTGGTGATGAGATACAAACTACTTGGAATGTATCATTTTAAAGTAAATTGAAATAACTAATAATTAGAATATATATATAAATAAATCTATTGCTTATAACAGGTTTCCTTGTGTTTATAAAAACTGTTTAATGTTTATATGTGATCAGTAAAGCATCTTAAAAAATATTTCCATTTGGAGCGAGCAGAATTAAAATGAATGATATAATAATGAGAATAATTCTTTATTTAAAAATATATCTTAAAAGGACATAGTAGCTTAAATCTTATTTCCTCGTTGTGTTGACAGTTGTGTGTTTATAAATTCACAAGCAATAGAGGGTGAAAATTTCTTCCTAAAAAGATTAGACTTATGGTTAAAAAGAATATAAAAAAAAAAAAAAAAAAATTTGATCTTTTTCCTTCTGCTTGGAAGAATTTAAAGAAAAATATACTTAATGAAATCAATAAAGATAAGATTAAAATTTCTATCTTCTGAGTAGATAGAATTTTACTTATGGTAAAGAGGAGGAGGAGGAGAAAAAAAAAGGTTTATTTTTCAGCCATTATTTTCATATTAAACAATACAGAGAAATGTTCAATTCCTCTTGCAAGTGAGAGTTAGGTGATGTGACAAGAAGTATTCCTTGTAATTAAAAAAAAAAAAAAAAAAAAAGCAGCAAGATTTTTACCTAATAATGAAACAATAAGCACCTTTATTAAACTCTACACTAGACAGTTTTAAGTAATGTTAACAGTTTGTTATATCAGTACCTACAAGAATCATGAAGGAAGGAGAGTGGTGTTCTTTGATAGTCTTTTAGGAATTTAATTCTTGTATTTTCATACTGAGTACCAAGTGCTTCTAAAATCATTTTTTAATACTGCCACTGTATAAAAAGCAATGCCAACTAAATTTAAAACAAATCACCCAACTTTAAACATATCTGGATTAAATGACATCAGATAAATTAAGCAATGAAAGAAAAAAGAAAGAAAAGAAAAATAAGTAAAAAAAAGAGTTCAGTGAATGACTGAGTAAGAAAAAGCAAAGATGAAAAATCCATTTGAAATACAATCCAGAAATCAATAACAGCTTAAGCAAGGAAAACTAAATTGCATAAATCGAGAAGCCAAGCAAGTCACTCCAGCTGGCAAAGCAAACAAACTTTTCAACTGAATTGGGCCATAAAGTTTTAATTAAAAGGTTTGTAAAAGATGATAAAAAAAGCACTATAACTATAATTGATTAATTACTCGGCAAGTTTTAAAGCAGCATTCGTCCTTATATTAAAAAAAAAAAAAAAGCAAAAAAGAAAAAAAAAGAAAAAAAGGAAAAGCTGAACAGGCATTAAGTCCTATCAGAGGCTCTTACAAACAACTGACGGTCTTACTTTATAAGGCATTTGGCAAAGTTAACCCCCCACCCACTCATAGTTGAAAGCTTGATAGCTATTGGCATTTCAAGGCTTCAGCTTATTTATTCAATTTTGACCAAATGCATCAATTTTGTATACAAGTATGCAATAAATTCCAGCTCCTATACCTGTTATTTTCCCTCTAGAAGTGAATCTGAACTTATCAAGCATTTTACAAAAGCATCAGTTTTATAGGAATTCTATTTTATCCTTTGTATTATTCAAGAGGAACTGTACAAATGTAAATAGTCATTATAAACCAGTGAAAAATCATTCTGAAAGAAGAAACTATTAAAAACATGCCAAAGATAAAAAAAGTTGGAAAGGAAATTTAAGACAAGCAATATACAATACAATACTTATGATCTGCAGAGATATTAGACTACAAACTATCTGAAAGAAGGTGAAGACAGAAAAAAAGCCCACCCCCTCTAAAAACATGCATTTATTAAAGTAATGTCTAGTTAAATTCCACTAAACACAGAGAACTTAAGATCTTGCGAACTAAAAATGCTGAAAACGAGGATGCATTGAGGAAATAATGTAAAATGTTGCTTAGTATAGAAAAAAAAGAAAAGAAGCAGCTTTACCAACCAAACTATAATTCATTCAACTTTCATCTTTTTTGTTTATCCTCAAGAAAAGAAAAAAAAAAAAGCTAGTGAAACATTGTGAGGAAGAGTTCAAATATTTTTCCTTGAAAATAACCCATTCTTATGGTACACTGACAACTCAATTGGTCAGACAGTGTTGAGTGCCATCCCAATCCCTATTGATATTCTATATAATTTGGGGAGGGGGGTGCATCAAGAGAGTGTATGTGTGCATATATATATATATATATATATATATATATATATATATATAATAAAATAATGAAAAGGCTTGAACACTAATATTCCATGGTCATAATTTATTCCATTGGAATCGTAAAATATATATGTATGTGTATGCATATATATATTTATATATTTTGCATGTGTATATTTACCACTAATATTATATAGATATATATATATTAAAAATGACTACCAGAAAAGGAGGAAGAGTAAATCTACTGAAACTAGAAGCAAATTTTAAGCTATAATCTTTTGGCACATAAACAAAGATTTCATTATAAGTAACAATTGCTTGTGAGTTTTCCGAGCAGTCAAGACAATAAAACTTTCTAAGAGTCAGGGCAATGATCACAGTTAGTGCAAGGGGAAAATGTGGAGAATTGATGTCCTTATAAAATATCAACGTTATTCTGCATTTTCTTGTTTATATTCAATACTTCCTGAATTTTAAAGAACATTCTGTTTATCACTAAATAAATTCTATGTCACCAAAAAGTAGTAAAATTGGGCTACTGAATTGACTTTA